AAGGCCCAGGGAATTACACAAAAAGTCTAGAAAAAAGTGAACACTGAATAGATTTCCATAACTATCACTATTTGCATTACATATCTGCCCAAGCTGCCCAAGAACCTGCTCGTAGCAGGCCCTGCACAAAACAAACCAAGCACTGGTCTGCAGTTGAGCCAAGCTCTTCCTCAACTTTTCCCCACTGTTTTTATTTGAAAATACTTTTCAGTGGAAGGATACATTACATAACTGCCCTCAGAATAGTTTGTTGGTTTTTTTTTAATGGGTTTGAAAAAAATTTAAATGTAAAATGAGCCATAGTCCACTACAAATAAGACACTCCAGGGTGTGCATTATTCAGCTACTGCTGCACTTCTCAAAAGATGAGCTTAATGCATACCCTGTTGCGCCTTATTACTATATGCAGAGTGCAAAATTAGACCAAAACGCTCTCACATCCCTAGCACAGTGTGTTTCCATTTGCAGCACAGGCAGCTCTCTTTGTTGTGTGTTAATCATTACTCGAGCATACCGTACACCATGTGCCCACCGCTCCTGCCCTAGTGGTTGGCATGCTGCTGCTCCAGGGGTGATTGCTGGTTTTGGTGAGCACTTTGGTGCCTGCTTCCCTGTGCAAATGTCAAAGGCATTTCAGAGGAACTATTGTCAAAGAGCCCTAATGACAGGAAGCATTACTCAGTCTGTGAAAATCCAAAAGTAATGCAGTTATTAAGTAGCATGAAGTAACCAGTTAGAAACCCTTCTGTAGGATATTCCTGGGATTTAAGTGCCTCTATAGCATTAAAGACCTAAAGGCTTCTAGGCTGTGGTTGATTGATAAACCTCTACGTAACCCTACGGGAGCAAGGCTCACTGGGTGGCTAGAGGGATTTTTGGGAATAATTTTTGGATGCAGCACATGAGGAGTTAAATCCCTGGCAGCCTCCAGACACACAGGTGTAAAGAGGCTTTGCTAACAGGCCTGGTCCCTACAGAGGCAGCCAGGAGAGAGCCTATAAATATGACTCATGGAGAAGCAGAGAGTAGTAGTGAAGATTTGCTGGGGGTCATGGAGGGCTTGGAGTCTCCCAGCAAAGTTGGATAAATGTACTTTAAGGTATCTAGTAACAAACAGCTGAAAGCAGCTCTCTTTTGTAAGGTCTTTGACTTACTTCCTTTTCTTTGCTTAGCTCATTTAGGTAGTTTGTTAAATGTCAGTAGAAAGGTGTGGGGGGTTTTCTTTTTTTCTTCTTTTTTCTCTTTTAGAGGCATTTTTTAAGGCCTGATGCTTGAATAACTGCATTCATCTTTCTTCCCCTCCTTTTTCAGTCACTGACTGCTGTATTCACAGCTTCTGCCTCAAAGGAAGAACACTTTCCCCCTCTATCACTCCTATTACTGTCAAGTTTAATCTTGTTTTTCTCTATGGAAGTTAATGTACCCAGGGCTGTGAAAAGGATTTTCAGCTTTACACAGATGAGGTATTCAAGTTGCTCAGAATATCAAATGGGTGCTTGCTGACAAGGTAGTAATGACACAGGTGGGGATAGTACTAACCTTATCTGCTTTTATCTACTCCTGAGGTTTTCTAAATCTGAATTTAGGGCTCTCAGAATGGTTGTCCCAAGGTTTGGGATCAAATTGGGGGTGTCTATGTGGCTCATGTCACAAGCTCTCACTCCAAAATGAAGCACTAATTAGTTAGGACTCAGGTAGTGGTGGAGTGGGCAGCTTGCAGCACTCTTAATTAAAGGCTAAGGAGGGAAATGGTGGTGCCGAGACACAGATCAGATCAATGTAAGGCCTCAAATCACAGGAGCTGGAGCTTATTTCCGATTATAGCTGAGCAGCAAAACAAACCACCAAAACACAGGACAGGAGTAGTGCAAATGATGTCTGCTGCGGCTTCGCTTTTCTCTACCTGACTGATCCAAAGACCATGCACTGGCTAAACATTATGTATCTCATGGTGAATATTTTTGTTGTCTTCTTGTGCAGTGTTTTGATAAACTGCATCTTAACAAACAGTCTTGTTGGGGGATACGCAAAGCAAGCCTTTGCTCTGAAGACGGCATGCTCCGTGTTATCACTGGAGGGGCTGCAAAGGTACACATCGTAATTGCAGATGCTCCTCTTGCACTGCTCTGACAGGTTGAGTTCCTGTTTAGATCAGCTTCTTCTGTGTCTTGGGTTAACTTACAGTGATGGAAGCAGAAGAGGAATAAATTATTCTACCCCAAGGGCTCTGCTAAGCTCTTCCAAGGTTATTTTCATTAACTGACCTGAATAACAAATTCTTTTCCATTAACCTCATCACCTGACACAAGCTGTTAAGCTGAGTCCTTCAGAACCTTATTGTCACTACTTGCACAGGAGCGTCTGCCCTGTCTGTATTTCATCTTGGCAATGTTCATTTAAGAAATCAATGCTACCATTAATGAGTAACTGAATGCTTGTTACCATCTTTCTCAACTTAATCCTCATAGAGGTAGGCTGCTTACTGCTGTAGCACAGCTTCGCTGAATGATACTGCAGTGAGTGAAAAATCTTCTCTATTTAAACAGGGGCAAGGAAGATACAAGCTTAATTCATTAGAAGAGAAGAAAATGGAGGATTAGCTCACATAAAGGCACTGTTCAGTATAGCTAAACTCTCCTCTGAAGTGAAAAACAGGTTTTCCAGTGAATAATGCACTGAGGGAAAGAAGCTCTGAGTAGGAAGAGCAGGATTCTCTGCTTATGTTAATAATTCACTGGGTTGTATTATTATTGGGGTATTTTTATGTTTCCATCTCTGACTCAATGCTTTTCACAGAATATCACAGAACATTAGGAGCTGGAAGGGACCT